GCGGGGGCTCCCTCCCTCTGTGCCCCTTCCTCCCCAGGGAGACGGCCATTCCCAGCCCATGTGTTGGGAATGAATCCTGGACCCTTGGAGCCTTCGTGTCCTTGAAGCCTAAGAAGCTGATCTGATGCTCAAGTGGAAATAGAGTCTGGAGCTGGGCGAGCTGATGCAGGCAGAGCATCACCCTGCACTCTGGGAGGCTGAGGCAGGAGGATAGAAAGGTTGGGCCCAGCCTGGCAACTTGGCAAAAAAAGATTTTTAAAGGAAAAAGGAGTAGGATGTAACTCAGGACAAAGACCCTGATTTCAGCCAGCAGGGAGAGGCCGAGACCCGGAGAGAAAGGGAGGGGGAGGGGAGAAAGAAGAAGGGAAGGAGGGAGGGAGAAAAAGAAAGAGGAAGGAGGAGGAGGGAGGGACAGAGAGAGGGAGAGGGGGAGAGGGAGAGAGAGAGAGACAGAGACAGAGACACAGAGACAGAGAGAGATAGAGACAGAGACAGAGACCGAGAGAATGCCCCTGAGAACTTGTGGCTCAGGTACAGCCAAAGTCAGAAGTCACAGCAGGAGGACCCGAGGAAGGGTCAGAACGGCTGACCCCTTAGGAAACAGCCTTCTGGGTAAGGCTTTCCCTAGTCTGGGGAAAATCTTCCAGCTGTCCAGGGTGGGGTAAGGGACAGAGCTCATTTGGTTATATTTGCATGTCATTTGCATGCCACTCTTGTCGTCCAGGGCGCTGACACTTCCTGGCTTGCTTCTTTCCCTTTCTTTCCTGCTGCTGTTTAACCTGGGGCAGCCTCCTATCTCCTCGCCCCATAGCTCTTCCTCTCCCAGACTAACAGAGACACAGAGTATTAGGCCAGGGGCAACCTTCCCCAGCGGCCACAACTCAAAAAGCTGGTTTTACAGAAACTATGAGTGCTGTGAAAGAGAGGATGAGAGAAAGGGGTCTTTGAGCCAGAGATTTAGCTCAGCGGCATAAGCACCTGCCTGGCAAGTGCAAGGTTGTGAGTTCGATCCCCGGTACCACCAAAAAAAAAAAAAAAAAACCCACCTAGCTAGAAAGGGGTCTTTGTACCCTCAATCAATTGAAATGATTCTCAAAGAAGTCGGGATGGAGGAGAAAACAGAAAATAGAAATCGTCTGTCCCTACCCCCATGTCCCCTACACACCTACGCTGGCCTCCGCAGACCTCTGAGCACACAGACAGCCATGTGATTGGGTACAAATCCCTCATGCTGTGGGCCTGGACTTCCAGAAGGATATTTAGGTTCCTTCTACCTCATGAGAGGACGAGAGAGAAGGAGAGGCTCAGCGTCTCCCTGCCTGGCTTGGAGGTCAGGCAGGCGTGGATCTAAATCCCATCCCCACCGTCCACTAGCTGTGCCAAGCTCCCGGAATCTCAGTTTCCTTATCTACAAAAGACTGAAGATCTTACTTTCCATCAAAAACTGCTGCCTGACAAGCAAGGCAGGAGATGCAGATCTGTAAAGGCAGCTACTCAAGAGGCTGAGGCAGGAGGCTCAAAGTTCAAGGCCAATCTGGGCCATTTAGCAAGATCCGGTCTCAGAATAACAAGGGTGGGGGTGTGAGCCCGTGGCAGTATGCCTGACCTAGCGTTTCTGAGGTCCTGGGTTGAGAGAGAGAGAATGAGGGAGAGAGAGAGAGAGAGAGAGACAGACAGACAGACAGACAGAGACAGAGAGAGAGACAGAGAGAGAGAGACTTCCAGGAAAATTGCAGAGCGGTGAGCAGCAGAGAAAGGGCCTCTCCAAGTTTGATTTCAGACCCTGGAATACAGCAACATGAGGAAGAGAAGGAGGAGAGAGGTGGGTGCCATGGTCACAGGAAAGATCTGAACTGAGACTTGAAGCCCACAGAGAGAGATAATTCAGGAATCCAGCAAAACTAAGAAAACAAGGGGCGGTGGCCCTGCCTCATGGGGAAAACCAGCAGGGAAGCCGCGCACCCCACCCCCACCCCCAGGTGCCAGCGGAGCCCCTGCCAGCTGGGGACAGACAGCCAGGAGGCCGCCTTCACCTCCCACCCCCTGCCCCAATGAGCAACTGTGTGCAGCACAGGCTGAGATGATAATAACTGGAGTGGGGGAGCAGCCTGATTGTCTGATTGACTTTGCAGGCCCGGGGCTGTAATCTGGGCAGCTATTTAGAGGATAACCATATGCAATATAGCAACAATTGTGCATTTCCTACTGTCCTGTCACTGTTTTGTTTCATTTCCTTTTAGTGTTCTGTTTTACTCCCTTTAAAATATATATGCATATAAATTAAGTTGTGCGAAACAGACTAAAACAGACTACATGCGTTCAGCATGGAATATAGTTCTTGGGACCTACAAAGCACTGCCTGTTTACTGAATGAACATGAGGTCTCTGCATCCTTCTTCCATACCCACACCATCCCTACCTAACCCCATGCTTCCAACTGTGAACCCCCTCTCTCTTTCTCATTGACCCCACCCAAAGAGCTTCATCCCAGAATCGTAGGCTGCTGGTGCTTAAAGTCCCAGGGACATTATCAAACACAAACTGCTCTGGCCTTTGGAAAACTAAAGCCCAGGCAGGAGTATTGACCACACCTATCATCCCAGTTATGGGGAGCTGCGGACACGGAAGCAGGGGGATCGTAAGGCCAGTCCAAAAAGCTTAGTAAGATCCTGCCTTAAAATTAATTAAAAAAATTTAAAACGACTGGAGATTGAGAGCACCCCTAGATTGCATCCCCATTACAAAAGAGACAGAGAGATAGAGAGACATCTAAAGCCCAAAAGGGGGGAAATGTGACTTTATATAAAAAAGGGCGTCAGGTCCAGGATACGGTGATCAGAGAACCAGATTCTGAGAGCACATGATCATGAGAACCGACCCTGGGTACCCATGACCATGCAAATAATATGGAAATAGAGATGGAAATCACATACACACAGGGGTATATAAACTTCGTGCAAACATTTTTCTAGGCTGATAGCAGGTGAGTGCAGTTGTATATGAAAAAACGGAAATCAGGAAAGGGGCCAAATTTGAAGCGGAGGAGGGAAGGGAGGGGCAGAGGCTGAGGGTGTCTTGACAGGGGTTTCTGGGGTCACTTGGTCCTCCAAAAAGCATTTGAAGATCTGATCCGGACCAGAGAAAAAGAGAAGCCCCTCAAAAAAAAAAAAAAAAAAAAGAGAAGCCCCTCTCCCACCTTCTTGCCTGGAGAAGGAAGCTGGGTATAGCTGGGGAAGGAGGGTTTGTGTGGCTCTGAGGTCACCCTGGTTACCTGCTGCTCCAACACCCCTTCAGCACCCACTGAACTCCTCCTGAGACCTGGGGATGCTCAGCACCCCTGCAGGCTCTGGGGACAACAGACAGTAACAGCTAGTCACAGCCTGCCGCAAAAGGCTATTAGGGAAGTGCCACCATAATTCGGGAAAAGATCAGATGGCTTCCACCTGGAAAGAGGGAGGACATGAATTATGCACCAAGAGAGCAGAAAGCAATGCTTTAGGTCAAGAGTTCCAAACCAGGCAGGGACGGTAGTGCATGCTTGTCACCCTAGTATTGAGGCACGATCCCAAATTTGAGTCCAGGCTGGGCAACTTAGTGACTTAGCAAGACCTTGTCTCAGACTAAAAAATAAAAAAGGGCTTGGAATGTAGCTCAGTGTGAAGGTGCTGGATTCTGGTCTCAGGACCACCAAATAATAACAACAACAACAACAACAATAACAATAATAAGCTCTGACACAGAAAAGTATAAGACAGCAAGTCAAACTCTCATCTGGAAAAATGGAAATAATAATGGTACAATTTACAGATTGTCGTGCCCACCAAATGAGATGGAAAGGTATTAAAGATGCCTTTAAAGTGTGGGGCAGCACGCTCCCTGGCACACAGCCAGCGCGTGATAGATGCTGGATATTACTGGGGCAGAAGATGGAGCCAGCCTGGCAGCCTGGCAGCCTGACCCCTGCTCTGAGAGCTGAAACAGATGTAAGGACTAAGGTGATGGTAGGCGGACCGGGAGTCCTGTCTGGAAAAGCAGGCCAGGCCCTTTCTCCTGTGCGTCTCCCCGCGGCCTTCTGAGCTTCCGGGCAGGCGGTCCCTCTGCTGAGAGTCACTTACAGACACCTGGAAATCAGAGAACACATGATGAGCGGAGTCTGAGGTGATGAGTCTCAAAGAGCACTGGAATGGGAGTCCAAAGACCTGATTTCCAGATAGGGTTTGTTCCTGGGCAGTCGTGTGCCTTTGGACAAGTCACTCCCGAGTGCTGGAAAGTGGCTGTCACCGCAGCTCCCCCAGACTGGCAAAGGACCTGCACATCCATCTCTCAACGCCTCAGGGCACCGCGGGACCTGGAGGTGGGCGGGGTCTTCACCCGGAAAATGTGGTTCTTAGCTGGGGCTGTCTAGTTCCGAGGAAGCCACCGAGGCTAGGTGAGCTTGGCTGCCTGCTTACCCAGATAGATGCCAGTTCAGATTAGCACTTGGCCCGTTTTACAGATTAGTAAAATGAGTTCAGAGAGGTGAAGAATCTTGTCCCCTACCACAAAGCTGAGTCGTTGAGAGGTAGGAGTCCAAGAACAGATTCTTTCCAGCACGCCTCTGCGGCTTCTCCAAACACTCCAGGTTCTTGTGGCGCTGTCCTCGGGAGCCCATCCAGACTGAGGCTCGCCCGGCCCGGGGGCGAGCTGGACAGGGAGCCCGGGCCGCCGCGGGTGTGGTGGGGAGGGGCCCCAGGCCGGGTCCCGCAGACTGCAGACAGGTGTTGAGCGGTCCGCCCGGGCAGCGCCCCCTCCTTCCCCGGCCCCCACCATCCCATATGCAAATCGCCGCTTTGCCCGGGCCCGGGGCCAGGGGGCGTGGCCGGCGGCCCCCGCCCCGCGCCGCGCGCTCACCTGGGGCGTGTGGCAATCCTGGCCGCGCCGAGTGCCACCCGGGCCGGAGCAGCCCAGCGCGCGACGGCGGTGGCGACGGCTCCAGCAGCGGCTGCGGCCGGGAGCGGGCCGCAGGAGACCCTGGCTTCCCAGGGGGCCCGGCTGGGGCAGACGCTGGGGGCCTGGGGGGGCGCTGGCTTGGGCCCCGCCTGGGGCAGGATGGTGAATCTGGAGCCCATGCACCCAGGTGAGACGCTGGGGGAGGGCGCTCCGACAGGTGTCATTGCGCGTGGGAGGTGGCGAAGGAGAGGGGCACCCTGCCCGGGGGGTGGTTATTCCCCGGCGGCCTGGAGAGGGCGGTGTGGATAGCGGGTCCTCCTGGGTAGGTGTCTGGGGAAGTAAAGGGAGTGGGGTGTCTGGGAAAGGAACCTGGGGAAGGGATGGGGGGCTGGCGGCTCGGCAAGCCGGCGCCCCGATCCCGGAGCAGGCAGTTGCTCGGGTGTGCTGCGCGGCCGCGGTCCCGTGCGCTCGCTCGCCGAGATGGGTGTTCACCAGCTCGGCTGGGGTGTGGACCTGGGAGCGCATCAGCTCCAAGCTGCGTGTATCCACATGCTGTGCAGCCCGTGTCCCGCACCTGTGTGAAATGGAGCCAAAGCGGGTATTTGTGTGGGGGCTTTGAAGAAGGGGGGCCGGGACAGAGGCGCACGTGGGGCAGGTGCCGTGCCACATGTGTATTGATTAGGGCATGTGCAGCCTGTGAGTCAGCATCTGCCTGTCACCACGTGTGCTGCCAGACGGCAAGAGGCAGACCCCAGAGGGCCGAACGGCCTGGGCACGGAAGATCCCTGTGCGTGTGTTTCAGGTGTGTCAGTAGGTGTGGGAGGTGTCCCGCTCACCTGTGCTGTGGGTCTTGGTTGTGTCTAGGCTTCCTGGATGGGGACCCTGTGTCCCACAGTGGGTGCTGACAGATCCCTCCCCTGGCTCCCCTATGTATTCCATGGCCCACTTTCCCTAGGGCCGGGCAGCTTCAGTAAAAGTCCTGCTGGGAGTCCCTTCCTCCATGGACAGAACTAAATCTCCATCTGCCCTGCTGACTGCTTTCACAACTGGGCTAGGACGGGAGCTGAACTGAAGCATCAGGCTTGGGGTCCAGGCTGGGGGTGTGTGGGGACTTCATATGTTGGTGGACATCTGAGGGCCTGAACAAAGAGCTTGTGAGGTAAAGAAGCTGTCTCTGACTTGACCACCTCAGACTTAGCACCTTGCCTCTGGACATAGGCAGGACTGAATTGACCTTTAGTTAGGGTTCCGAGTTGGCTGAACTGTGTGGTTTGCTCTCCTTTCTGGGAGAGTAGGGAGGAGAAAGCAATTCCCCGATCTACCCTAAGAAGTAGAGTAGCTGGACCCTTCCTGGGTCCTCTCAGTCCTAAAAACAAGCAGCAGTGGGTGCTCAGGGAACCCAGAGTGCCCAGTTCGAGTTTCTCAGCAGGGCTGAGAGGAAGGGTGACTTTGAGAAACCACCCTACTCACTGCCATCCAGGATGTGGCCAAAGGCTGCTCCCAAACTTCATGGCACCAACATGGAGCTGGGAGTACCTGAGGCAGATCCCCTGGGAGGTTTTGCTTTCCTTCATTTCCTGTCAAGAAGGCCAGGGTTCAAAGGGGAACCAGACTCTTCCAAAGATGGGCCCCGGCAGGAGGTGGGGAGTTCTTTAGGACCGAGATCAGAGACTTCCTGGGGGTTTCCACCTCCTCCTCCGCTGGAGACTCCTGCTCTGGGGAAATGGGAGGAGGTGGAACAGCTGGGGCCAGGCAGGGAAGCAGCCTAGAGGCTGAGTATCTAAGGCAGGAGAGGGGGCGAGGCTGGGAAGAGAGAGCCAAGCCCCCATGGCTTCCCCTGGAGCCAGCTCCAGGCTGATGCTTCTCAGAGAGCTCCTTCATCCTGTGGTCCTGTGGGCTGGGTGCCAGACACACAGGGGCCATCCACCTGGGGGTAGGCTGCCTGCCTCATCTTTCCACATTTTCTTGCTACCCCCTCCCCAGCTTTTTCACTTTGTGCCCTCAGTCCTTTAGTATTTTTTTTTTATTTTGAGACAGGTTCTCACTAAATCACTAAGTTGAGTGGGCTGGGTTAGAACTTGCAGTCCTCCCGCCTCAGCATCCCAGAATGCCGGGATTCCAGGCAGGCATGTGCCACCACGCTTTCTCCAGCTATTTCTTTAGTCTGTTTCCCTGGGGCTGTCAGGCTTCTCTGCAAGATTCCTTGGTCTTGGTCCCTCCCTTCAGTGGCCCCTCCATGGGCTCTCTTGGTTTGGGGCTTTCTGTGCAGAATTACTGGCTGGGTCTTGGTGAGCTTTTTAGCTCAAGGTCTTCCATCCAGGGTCTTTCAATGTGGACCTTGTTGTGGGATCTGGGGATGGGGGCTCTTTTCTCTCTAGGATCCTTTCTCTTTTTTTTTTTTTTTTTTTGGAGACAGGGTCTCACTATGCAGTTCAGGCTTTGAGCTCACTTTGTAGCCCATGCTGGTCTCAAACTTGTAACGATCCTTTTGCCTCAGCCTCCCAAGTGCTGGGATTACAGGAGTGCGCCACCACACCTCGCTTCTCTAGGGTCCTTTCGTTTTGTATCATCTTTAATGAAATTTGGTTCTTTGGCCTTATTTTCCCGCTACAGCAGTCCTGTGTCCTGTTAATCCTTGGTGGAGCACTTCCCCTGGGCCCTTGGGGACTCTTCTTTAGTTGATGGACTAGCACAGTTTGGATGGGGCAAAGAGGAGGAGAAATTGGAGCTCTCCAGGGCATAAGCTTGCTCTCTGCCCCTCGCTCCCATTCAGATGGCTCAGCTAGCTCTGACACCTGAGTCAGTTTGCGCTACTAACTAGGGTACAAGCCATGGTTCAAATCTGCTCCAACCTTCGACATCTGGTACTTTGTAAAGCTTCTCTCCCACCGAGTACAAGCATGGAGCCACCAGACACAGGGCTCCCAGACAAAGAGGGGCTCCAGGTTCCTGGGCCAAAAACAGGAGAAAAAGCAAGGCATGTTGGTGCACACCTGTAACCCCAGCACTCTTGGGGGTGGAGGCAGAAGGAGCAAAACTTTAAGTCCAGCCAAGGCAACTTAGCTATGCCTCAGATTAAAAAAAAATTTTGTTTTAATGGTTTGAGATACAGTTCACTGCAAAGATCTTGGGTTCGGTCCCTGGTACCATGAAGACAGGATGATAGATAGATGGATGAACAGATTAATGGATAAATAGATGGTAGCAAGGTAGGCAGAAGTATAGACAAGAGCTAGGGAGGGAGGAAAGAGAGAGAGAAAGAGAAATAGTGTGAAGCCAGTAGAAAAGACACCTGATAATCCCCAGGGGTCTCTTTCTCTACACTTTGCTCTGGGAGCTGTTTCCCATCTCAGTAGGGAAGGTGAGTGCACAGACTAATGAGAGTTAAACTCAGGCCATCGCGTTTGGGCTGAAAGGCCTGAAAGTGGGAAGGGAAAGAAGAGAGGAGAAGTCTCCTCCAGCAGAGCCCTGGAGCCACAGTTAACTCAGACCACGGGACCACTGGGTCCTTGAAGTTCCCCTGGTGGGAGTGATCCCAACTGCAAGAGTGTGAGAGACAAGCCAAGAGGAAGGGCGGGTCCCTTCCAAGGGCACGGAGGTGGCCCTCAGAGAGGAAAGGATGGGCTTCTTTCCCTGAGTAGACACTGAACCTGTAGCCACAGGAGGTGCCGCCGCTGGGGCTCCAAGTTCATAGAATGGAAGGAGGGATTGTTCCTAGGTTATGCCAGGGACGGGAGGGCAGTGCCAGCTTCAGGGCTTGGCAGTGCCAGACGAGACAGAGAAAGATCTGCTCTGACAACTGCCTCTGACATGGTATAGCCAGGGAAGACAGTGATGGCCAGGAGCCCTCTTAGTCTGCTGAGATAAAAACACATCGGAGCCCAGCCACACCCTACACCTCTCTCCTTCACCCCCAGCAATGCTGTCCGGCAGGTGAAGGGTTACAGTGTCTCAGGAGTTTCGGTGTTGGCCCATTTGTAGGCTGAGACCCAAACAATTGTCCCAGCCATCGGCCCCAGCCTCCTACCCAACTGGAACAAGCTCTGGTGTCTGAGCATCCTATGGGACCAAAGGAGAGGTTTCACGGGTCATCACACGTCCTCCACGCAGGCTCAAATCCCGAAGTGCCACAGTGTACAAGGCCGTGGGAGGTGGGGGTCAGTACGGTGTCTTTTAGTAACTTTTAGACGTAAGGAAGACTAAATACTAAGCTGATTTAAACAGTGAATGAAGTGGCTTCTGAGTATGTCAGGAAAGTTTGAGTTACAGACAGAAAATTACAGCTGAGCTCAAAAAGTTACCCTTTTAAATGTCCGGAGTTGGAATGAAGGTCATTCAGTGACTCTGGTTGGCGCCCTGGCTTCATTGCCTCTGAACCTTTTCCTGTCCCCCATGATCACCTGCTGTACGAAGGCAGAGCTTGGAGAATGCTGACGCTCAAGGACAAGTTTCAGGGATGCTAAAACGCGGACTGTAGCTGCGCACGGTAACAGGGAAGGCACAGAGGAAAGCGTGTAAGGAGGAGACGAGAGGGGAGCCGGACTGACACCTGAGCGGTGTCTATTTAATGAGTCTGTTTATTAGGTGCTTATTTGTCTTTATTATTTCACTTAATCCTCATAATAACTATGGGAGGTATGTTTTATTATTCTCCCCCTCACAGGTGAGAACATTCATGTAGGTGGCTAGTAAGGACGGGTGATGGGACTGAGATTTTGTCTAATGCCAAAACCTGCGTTCTCCACCTCAGCTCCCCTGAAGCAGGTTAGAAGCAGCACTAGTTCTCCGGCGGCCTCTGCCTATGGGCTTATGCACAGCGCCGTGGAAGGGCCCTGTGGGGAAGTGTGAGCCGCAGATCAGTGCTGAGTACTACTCAATGCTGGGGCTAGCACCTCACGGGGAAAGAAGGGAACCCTCCTCCCTTGGGGGGCGTGGAAGCCTGCTCCCTTGGGGGGCGTGGTAGCAAGCTGCTGCAGCTGCAAAGGTTCTTTCCTTGGCGAATGTGTTCACGTGGCCCACATAAGTTCATCTGCGTGTTTGTGCATGGAGACTATACAGACAGTTTGAATCCACGGCAGGAAAGGCTGAGGTTAGGCTCAAGAAGTACTTTCCAAATACCTGGGATCAGGTGTGGTTGCAGGGTCTCCCTGGAGCTCTGTGACCACTCAGTGCCTTGGGGGTATCTGGGGAAGTGTCCACAGAGCTCCAAGCATTTACCTAAGAGTCTTCTTTCAATTAGCAGTTCTCAAAAAGCTACTCAAAGCATGGTTACTCCCAGGATTACATTATTCCCTGTCCTGTTTCTGGAGCATCCTAGTAGGTTTGAGTCTCTGGACTCCCCATCTCTATCTTGCTTGGTGTTGCAATCATTGTACCCCAAGGTATAAATCTCTGCCAGAGCCCCACATATCACTGTCCTAAAAAAACAACACATGCTCTCTCCCCTCTTTCCCTGCGGCAGAGGTCCATCCTATCCCCTCATCCTGATCCTCTCCAGACCCAGCATCCAGGCTGATTACCTGATGCAAATGAAGGCTACCTCCTGGACTGGGATTGGCTGGGGAACTGTATGCAAATTAGCTCACCAAGACTTTATATGGTTTGAAAGAGTTAAAGTGCTGGCCCAGAGAAGGAGGGGAGTGAAGGGGGTGGGGTGTTCAGCACTATTTGAATAAAATATTCTTGTTTTTAACGGCTTCAGTATTTGAGTGGTTTATTGAGAGAAGAGACAGAGGGGGGAGAAAGAGAGGAGAGAGAAAGAGAGAGAGAGATCATTCAAAGTTGCCTCTTTCCTTCTGTCTGCTGACCAGGGAGGAGACTTGGGGGCCTCCTAGGTGGTGGCAGCTGGCTGTTATTGGTAAATGTTTAATTTATCAAAATGAAGCAGGATGGAGGGCCAAGGCTTGAGGCAACCCTGGGGCCCTGTCTAGGTATGCTTTCCTGGCAGGGCAGTGACCCACCGCCAACTCCGTTCTTACTGAGCAACCTTGAGGGACTAGGAGAAGGTTAAGATCCCCAAAGAACAAAATCTTCAAGAAGGGCAGCACAGAAGGTCTGACCCCCACGGTGCTCTGATCGCTGAGAACCAGAGGGCAGAGACAGGAACTGGGCTTGGAGGGGAGAAGGGCAAACCTTGTTGAAGAGTGCTCCTACCTCCTGGGTGGGGTTATGATGTGGGGGGCGGGGGAGATACGACCTAGGCTACTTTAAAGAAATAAAATTAAATCCTCAAATCATAAAGGAAACGAAGCTGGGAATGGGAAGGGTCCTCCCACTCCACTCTTTGGCCCCTCCTCTTGTTAAATTTTTATCATCTGAGTCTTGGTGACAGGAAGAAGTGGCAATGAATGATGCAAAAGGTGGGAGATGGTGCAGTGGCCATGGAGAAAGAGGGTCCAAAAGGCCCTGCGGGGAGGCAAGCACCGGAGGAGGGGATTTGTGCCCCCACGCTTATGCTTATGAATATTCTAATGATTGTATGTTCAAGAATCGGGAATTTGAAAGTCTGATGGTGGCTGTAATTGCATATTCATCTTTGCTGTTTAGTTAAAGCCACATATGTCATAGCAAGAAAAATTGTGACCTGTTATTAAAATCAGTTGTGTTTCCCTGTAGATATCAAGATGAGCGGGGATGTAGCAGATTCCACGGACACGCGTGGTACCCTCAGCCAAGTGGAGCCAGGTAAGAGTCTTCTCTTCTGGGGAGTAGAAAGGGCAAGGAGAGAAAGGGAAGAAGTTGCTATGGACTGTCCAGTGGTGTCTCTGCTTGCGTGGTCTTTCAGCCAGTCAGACTCCACAGCTCGGTCTTAGACATGGAGAGAATTCTCTAGAGTTGTGGAATAGGACTCCAGAGCTTTGGAATAGCAGACATTGCTGTCAGTAGAGCAAACCTCTGAGACTAGTCAGAAAGGAGCCAGCGGTTTAGGAACAAAACAAACCTAAAAAAGTTAAGGAAATAGTTCATTTTTGCAGTGCTGGGGTTCAAACCCAGGGCTTCATGTTTGTTAGACACCCTTAGTCCTTTGATTTACTTTTTTTCCCCTGCACTTGAGGTCAAACTCAGGAGAGCTCTACCACTGAGCTATGTCCTCAGCTTTTCAAATTCTTTACATTGAGAGAGAGCCTTCCTGAGGTGCCCCGGGTGCCCTCAAACTTGAGCTTGCAGTGCTCCTGTTTCAGCCCCCCCCCCCAGTAGCTGGAATTTCAGCCATATACCACCATATCCAGCTGAGATTCGCTTCCTGACGTGCCATTCCCACACCCCTAGAAGCATCAGGCTGTGTTGTCAGCTGCCAATAACAAAAACAAGATCTGTCTTTGGTGGATGAGCTGCAGATTTTCCAGCAGTCCCTCTGAAGGAGCTTACCGAAGAGCCCCATGTGTAAAATTTTGCCCTTCCAAATGATGCCCATACGAGTGGCACGGAAGCTCAGGAAGGAAGCCTTCGTGCTTACCAATAACTTGGCTTTTGTAAAGAAGAAAAAGTGCAGAACAGCATTGGGAAGAAAGTTTCAAACACCTATAGCCCAAGTCTTGATTTGAAATCTTCATATAATTAAAACGAACATAAAGGAAGATAAGTAGAAATTGTAACACCACCAAATCATTTTAATAGCATCCCCACAAGCCATCAATTAGTCTTTCATCTGGATCATTAGAGACAGAGGAATAAGAAGTGGAAAAGAACCAGTATACCTTGAACTAAACTCTTTCTCAGGTCTTTTAGAAAATTTTAGTTCTACCCTTCCAGTTAAAAGACCTGGGATCGGGGCTGGGGATTTAGCTCAGTGGCATAAGCGCCTGCCTTGTAAGCAGGCAGTTGTGAGTTCGATCCCTGGTACCGAAAAAGACAAAAAAAAAAAAAAAAAAAAAAAAGATCTGGGATCAGGGACAAGGCAGTTAGGGATGGGGATTCATCTGTAGGATACATTTCTATGCTCCCCAATTTATATATTATTATTTTTTTAATATTGTGCAGCTAGAAATTGCACCCAAGGGTATCTCCTACCAAGCTACATCCTCAGCACCTTTCTGTTTTTCGAGATAGGCTCTCACTAAGCTGCCCAGGCTAAAACAGTGTCCACCATCACAGGTAACAATGTACATAGAGGTACAGTCTTTGCTTTGTGCAGAGGGACAGTTGGACTAAGGAGAGTGAAAGCCAGTTGCACCCCCACCCTAACCCTCTTTTTTTGAGGTAAGGTCTCAATGTGGAGTCCAGGCTGGTCTTGAACTCACATTGTGACCCAGCCTGGCCTCTGTCCTTGAGTGCTGGAATTCTAGGCAGATATCACAACACCCATCTTCTCCCAGCTTGTTGACTACCCATATTTTATGAAAGTTTGTGGGAAAAGGCACCTGTCCTTCCTTCCCAATTGAAAAGAAATTTTCCTTCAATTGCTAGAACCTGAGATAAGCTCAGCAGGGAAGTAATGGGAAGGATCCTCACTCTGACACTCTGGAGAAAAATCAGAGTCTAGGCGCCGTGATCCTGGAGAAGCTGGGCTGCCCTTTCCTAGGGTGAGTGGAGCCAAGTCTGTCCACATAGGAAAAGACCAACATGACACTGCGCTGGTCCTTTGGTACTTATTATCCTGACCAAGCCAGGGGAACAGTGCCGGGAGTGAAAAGGAACCACATGGAACCCTAAAAAGTGAGCCAGGAAACTGGGGGGTCTCTGACCCTGGAAGGTTCAGGAGTTCTGGACAGTCCAAATTCCAGCCTCTTATTTGGGACTGCGAGACCTATGTGTAAACTAGGTAGAAGGAGACAAAATGTGAACATAGAATAAAACCTTCAGAATCTGTTGGCAAGGGTACTGTCCGTGGGTTCCATGACTTCAGATCAGTCACTCTGACTCTAGGGGAGGCAGGAACAGACAGATGCCCTTAAAGACGATGAATTTCAGATGAAACCAACCTGGGGTAAAATGTGCAGCTGTGCCGCTTGCTGGCTGCACGACCTGATCATGTGCCCACATCTCTTGGGTAACTAGAGAACATTAACTTCTTAGAGAATGTGTTGAGGGTTCTTGACATGATGTCAAAAGCCCTTAGCCCAGTGCTTGGTGCGGTGCGCCTGGGATCCTCGTTACCTTTGATGGCAGCGTTATGAGTCTGTGACTGTAACTCATAGTGTAAGAGTGTAAGACAGAGTGGCCCCTGCGTGGAGGGCTCTCAGGCTGCAAGTGGCCAGGATGCTCTTTTTGCTTGTTGTCAGTGCTTCAGCGGCCTGAGGTTGGTTTTGCTCTGTTCTCCAATCAGGGAAAGATTCTGTGTGGGTTTTCTTAAACTCCCAGAAGGCAGTGACAGCTGAGACATCTGTGCCGTCTGAAACTCTACCACCCCTCAACATTTCCCTTCTGGACTCAGCTCAATGCCCTGTAGCATCAGTGCATAGGTGATCCTCAAATTACAGCATGTTTTTAAGAGCAAGGAAAAAAAAAAGAAGTCGCTAATTTACTTAACCAAACTTCCTGGAAAGTCATTCTGACTCATTTTTTTAAAGAGGAAAGCTGATTATGAGTTACAATGTCTACCCACTTGCTTTAATGGCTTCCTTTGAATTTCTAAAAGATGCCTCTGCCTTCCCAGCATGAATGGATGAATTAATAAGTGGTTTGTCTCTGGGTTTTAAAGGAACTATAAAGGAAGGTGACCTAGAAAGCCCCTTGCCCCGTGAGCGCCCTGGGTGTTGTGTGAAATCCCCAAGGAGTACAAAGGATGGGAACCGGGAAAGGGAAGTGAATTTCCCATCCGCACTGGCCAAGGAGAGCGTTTGCAGACCTGAGCACAGACTTCCTGGGTGGGGATCCTTGGCAGGGCTCTGCTCTTTCTCTTTGCTCCAGCACTGAAGAGAACAAATTGCCCAATGTCCTTGTAGGCGCGCTAGAGACCAGGCAAAGATTTTACAACTTCTGTTCCCCACTCCTGCCGTGAGGGACTGAAGCCAAGTTCTCTTTAGATTGCTCCCTCCTTCCTGTTACATCCTTATCAGTTACTTACTATTTTTCCTTCATTCTGGAGGTTGACAATACAGTGTTTCGGTTCTCGGTTAGTGGTGGATGGGACTATAACCTTGTGGTGTTCACAAGTCCTGGGCTCTAACTGACAACATTTAGACCCATCAGAGGTCGGTTGACCATGCCATGGACGTCATAGCTTTTTTTTTTTTTTTTAATCGGTAGCAGGGATCAAGCTCACAACCACGCACTTGCAAGGCAGGCACTTATGCCGCTGAGCTAAATCTCCAGCCCCGACATCATAGCTTTTAACAGGAGAGAGGGCAAAGCAGGGGACTCAGGAGGAAGGCAAGGAAGACCAGTGACTTTTACAGTGCCTCCTCCCAGGCACACCTCATGTGGACGCCTCTATGTGTCCCATCTCATTGAATCGAATCCTGGCAACAAGCCTATGCAATGGAGACATCATTAGTCTGGTTCCCTTCAAGAGGAAGCCGTGGGGCTAATGACTTAGTCACAGGATCACACAGCTCACAACCAGGAATCAAACTCAGGCCTATGTGACTCCATCAGGTTCTCGTCATGGTGGGGCCATGAATACCCTGCGTATCACTGGCAAATGTTTCCCCAGATAGACCTTTATTTTCTCCCCTATAAATGAGGGGTTCGGACCACATAGTCTTCCAGGCTGAATCATAAAAGCTACGTGCACAGTCTGCTGTTCGGAACTCTCTCCCATCTGTTGGCACACCCCACATCTGTGCGTGGCTTTCCCTGTGCTGAGCAGTCCCCCACCCCACTTCTTTTCTCCTTCCCTTTCACCGCTCTCCCCTCCAACATCTCCAGCGGTCTTGCTCTGAGTGGGTTCTGATCCTCTGTTTGGCCAGGCTGGCAGACCCGTAACCACCATCTACAGACCCTGGACTCAGAAAGGTAGGGAAAAGTGCCTGTCCTCAAAGAGCAGGAATTCAAGAGCAAGAATTCATGGTTGTGTGGAGAGCAGGAGACCATATCTATAGTGGCTCCTCAAACACATCACACATTTGGCCTTTCCAAGGATCCAGCAAGAGGCAGTGTTCTCATCCCCTTTAAAGTGAGGAAATTGAGACTGAGGCAGGAAAGTTTATCAGCCGCTTTTCCCAAGGTTGCCTGTCTACAAAGGACAGGCTGAAACCTGAATCTTTCTAGGACTTTCTACCTAAAGATGATGATGGAGGACTGGAGGCCAACACAGAGAACCAGGACAGAGGACACAAGAGAGCAGCAGCGGCCGCAAAGGCCAACATCAGGGAGGATGCACAGCAGGGCTAGAGGGGCCACATGCCCTGTAGTTGGGCTGATGTAGTCCAGGAAACAGAAGCCCTGTTGGGGCCAAAGCATGCTTGCTGGGGAGGAGAAGAGAAGGGCTGGGGTCAACTCCCTCCCTCTGCTGAACCATGGAGGCTGAAGATCAGCCACAATAGAACCCCCTCCCTCCTGAGCCAGCCTCCCTCCGGGTCCTGGCCTCCACCGTCTGCAGCCTTTCTTGTCACTTAACAGAGGGGGTGGGGCAGGATTCCAAACCCAGGTGGCCATGGAGCAAATACCTTGGCACCTTGTCTGGTCAAAAGTCTGGGAAGGGAGGGCTCCAGGAGAGGAGCTCAGGGGAAGAAAGGAGACTGCAGAGGTTAAGGAGGGCTTTTGACTTACTGCTGTCTCCAGGTTGCCCTTTCTTCCTGGAC